CTGGAAAAGATACAGCAGACCGATTTTCTTGGTCTACCCTTCCAAATCCCCACCAACAGAGTGGGAGCGCCAATCTGCCCATTGACAGATGACTTGAGAGAATTGCATTCAATTCTTTCCTTGGAAAAGCTACCCACAAAATTCCTCTGTATCCCAGGAGAAATCCTTGCATCTTGTTTGTACTTCCCCACCAACAGTGGGAGCGCCGATTTGTCCCCTGACATGATCGACTAGAGCAACTTTTTTCTTGAAAAATGCCTCAACGTGGTTCAAACTTATCTGACTAAAAGCAGCATAGTTCCTGGCCTCTACAGCCGTATTACACCGGCAGTTGGATACTCTAGAAGTAGCATAAAAACCAATTAATGATTCAGTTATATATATATATATATGGGGCCAACATGACCCCCAAGGTTTTCTCTGCCTCATCCGGCTCCAGACGGCGTAAGGCTTCCAATTCGCCAGTCAGTCCAGGTATTTGTAATTTATGATCCGGTAGAAGTTGGTGTGTCCGGCGAAACCTCCATTTGCCCTCTCTGGAGTCCCACCTAAAGTCAATCAACCACCAGAAGGACTTTTCTGGGTTAATTGCCCCTCCAGTAGCACTAATGCCTCCAGCCCACGTGGAAGCCGCTTGTTGGACGGAGTGGCATATATCCTCGCCAGATTGTTCCACGGACTTGCCCGCTTTGATCACGTCCGTGTCATCGACGAAGCAAAAGCACCGAGCGGTGATCAGTTGAGAATCAATTGCTGTAAGGCATTCAAAGCCAAAGCCCATTGCGGTCATCATCTGGATGATGACGGAGCTAACCGAAACTCAAATGGGCGGGCCCGCTCCGTTGCCCTGGCCGCAACCCTGAAATGGTACAATAGAAGGGGGATCTCTCTTCAGAGTCACCAAAGCCCGTCCGCACTCGGTGCGTGGACGTGGCTAGAGTGTCAAACATCATCCGCAACGCATTCCAAGTAATCGCCAGACGCATCATAGCTATCACCGCAACCCAATGGACGACCCGATCAAAACAAGACTTTGCGTCATTTGAAATCCACCCCGCGGAGCGGCGCTGGAGAATCAGCAGGTCCCACACAAGGCGTTTAGACAGGGCGAGATCGATCGCTTGATGGTGCTTTCGAGCCCCGCACTGTCCATCGGCCAAGAGGTGATGTTCTTCACCGTAGGCCATGGCCAGGCGGCCCAATTTTTTGTAGTTCGCTTGGGATTCAGAATTCATGAGCTGGATCGTGCGCATTTTTGTCAGCCGGAAGTCTCCTGGCTTCTTTCCAATGGCAAAATTCATCAGATGCCGCCAGTTGTCAGGGACAAACCCAGTTGTCAAGGGTATGTGGCGGAAGAGAGCGTCGCATTGAGCCACCGTAGGAGAATAGATCCCAGCCTTGAAATGCCCGTTATGAAGCCCATGTGGTTCCGAGCCCTTATTCTCTGGATTAGGGGACCAGAAGTAAGTATGATCGTCCGGCGACACTTCCATCGGGATCATAGAATGCCCTTGATGGAAACGGCACTGTTCCAGGAATAACTGAGTGTAAGAATCGATCCCATCCGGCATTGGAAGGCGGCCCTCCAGAAGGGCGTGGGAGTTCCTCTCTGCGTCCGCCCCGGTGAACATTGAATACAAGGGTTCGTCCATGGGAGGAGTCGTATAGGGCGATCGAGTCTGGTCGTACCGTGCTCGATTTTCCTGCATGCACCCTTGCTCAACTTGTCTCCGGTCAGTGAGAGTTCGAAGGTCCACTTGTCCGTTAGGTAACTGCTCCTCAACTTGAATCGCTTGCAAACCACCGGTAGATCCTTTTGACTGGGCGCGGCGGCGGCGTCTCGCCTCCTCTCGTTGCTTCATCCGCCGTAACCTCAAAAAGCGATCTCTAGCCTTGCGCGATGTCCATTGTTTCTTCTTAGATTGCTTCACTTGAATAGTCAAGAACTCCTTGCGCCATGTAACCGCGTGGTTTTTCTTGGCATGCAAGTACTCTTTCCTGTCATTACGCAATGCCGTCTCCAATTCAGCCGTAGTCTTCTTCCAAGCGTCGGGCAACTTAGTCTTCTTCATAAGGCGACGGATTTTCCGCGAGCTGACTCGACATTGCTTCCTTCCCTTCGGCAGTAGCTTCCAGAGGGACTGGCGGTCCCAAAAGTTTTGGGTCTGAGGAGACCACGGGACGGCCCCATTCGTAACCCTTCTACACCTCGCTTCCGCTTTCCGACGAATATCGTACGTCTGGGATATTCCGCATTTTGGTGTGAATCTGAACTGGAATCGGGGCCTGACCGGCTTGCTCACTCCTTCTGCACGGGGATCTATGATCCGACATCATCACTGCTCGTGGAATTCATTCTTGGTCGGTGATCGTCGCGTTTTGGTCGTAGTTCGTTAAATTACAGACAGTTCCCCTAATTGACATTGTTTTTGTCCTCTGAGTCAAAAATTCTGTGAATTTTTCACAGATGTTCCGAAATCTCTGTGAATGACCAACAGATGTTCCGAAATCTCTGTGAATTTTTCACAGGTTTTTTAAGGGTCTTCACAGATGTTCCGAAATTGCCGTGAAGTTTCAACAGAGGTTCAGCTGACATGCGTGCACGCATGCCCTTTCGTAAAAGCACCATACAATTTCGGTAGAGGAAAAAACGGTTAATGGTGTGCGCAAGCAATGCTTGGTCGTCTGGGTCAAAAATTCTGTGAATTTTTCACAGATGTTCCGAAATCTCTGTGAATTTTTCACAGATGTTCCGAAACTTCTGTGAATTTTTCACAGGTTTTTTAAGGGTCTTCACAGATGTTCCGAAATGTCAAAATTGTGGCGAATGGTGGGTTCAGCTAGGAATATAACATTTATGGCTGCACTATGTAAAACTAGTCGTAGACTTTTTTCCACGGTCGTCTGAGTCAAAAAGTCTGTAAATTTTCTATCGTCTGAGTCAAAAATTCTGTGAATTTTTCACAGATGTTCCGAAATCTCTGTGAATTTTTCACAGATGTTCCGAAACTTCTGTGAAAAATTTACAGGTTTTTTTGGGGTCATTACAGATGTTCCGCAATTGCTGTAAAAATAAAACAAACTGTCGTGGCTCACATTAGTCCACTAGTCCAACTAGTCGAATCATATCAGTCGAATGAACATCGATTACTCTGATATGAGTACTTCTACAAACGCCCCCTTACTCAGCATGCCCACAGTAGTCTTGTCAAAAGCAATCTTGCCAAATGTCGAGTACATCTATTACCTACGCTACGAGCCGACAGTGATGTGGCAATGAGGTGGAGACAGTCTGACGAATACATCTTATCAAGACTGCAGTAGAAGTTGTGTGTCTCCAGTACACACCTTCTCTGCTGATGTCAGTATGGCTATCGCGTTCTGCCCAGGGAAGTAGTTCTCCATTAAGCTCATAATATCTCTTTAGCAATCTTTCAATCGCTACTGTGCCTAAGTTAGTCCTCAGCCTTTTGTGGGACACGGCACAAACTTTAAAATTTTATCTGGCGAATGAAGTTGAATACTTAACGGCATTGTGAACATTTATAAAATTCCTTGTCGTAGAAGTTTCTTTCTGGCAGGCAATAAGTGAAAGTCGATTTTTGAAGTTTCGTGCAGAAGAGGGTGAAAATGACCACATCGACTCTCCAAAAAAAAGAGAAAGCTGGCTTCACAGAAAACTGCGGGATATCCCTGCTTGTGCAAGCAGTTATACTGGCGTCCCATTTTCTCGGTCATAATCCCACTGTTTAATGTTAATTGTCTATGAAGCTGCTCCAACCGCGATGGAATGGAGTACACGTCATAGCCTTGGTGAACCAACCGGAGATAGCGTCTAACGGCCGCAGTATCAAGCATCGTTAATTTGCGAGGCTTATATGGTGTCTTCTCCGGACGATAGCTGCCAAGGGACCGTTCCAAATCAATATCGATCCACAGACCGCGATGATCACAGGAGAAAAATTCATCAAAGTTGTAGTAACCACCTGCTTTAATCACCACTCCGGAAGTTGCAAAAATACCATCAATGGGTCTGCCACGTTTGTTGCGATGCTGGGTTGCCGCTGTTCGACTTGGATGTCGTTGTAGGATTGCTTCCTCCAATCCTATGCCACAAAGTCGCTGGCGAAAAGAGGAATCCTGGTATGAGGAGACATCCTCATTAGCGTCCACGCCCACGATCACTTTGCACCGTTCGTCGCGCCATTGGGTGATCGCACGTAAAAGGTCCACCATAAACGCCTCCCTTGGATCACGCTGTCTGCCTTGAGAGCGGAAGAAGCTGCGGTGTTGCGCCCATACCGTAGATTCGCCCTTACCCGGGGGGTTTGGCCTGTACGCGGAGACGACCACCAAGTCTTTAGAGAACCGGCTACGTGACGCATCGGTAGCCTCATTGACTTGGTTATCCGAGGATGGCATATCAAACTTCTTGCCTCGAAGGCGCACGTACGCCCACCTTCCCAGCTTAGACGGGTCCCTACCACTTGACTTGGCTTGGTGTGCAACTGCATTCAAGACAGTTGCGACGCATCCGCCGTACTGAGAACAAGACGCAATTGGCCGGGCGCGATTCTCATTGTATGCCGTCGCCGAATAGTACCCCTTGGGCCCGATTTGCCGCATCCTATCATTCCAGGTATGACCTTCAGGTAGAGAAGGCCAGTGCGTGTTGGTCTCTGCCAACAACGCAATTCCCACTTGTTCATCTTTCAGCCACTGATTAATCTGTAACTGTTTCCGCCCTGTCGACAAAGCCGGTAGGCCATTGACATTTTGGAAAATCAGGCGAGTCAATGCAGAACGATGGCCTCGGTGATCATCACCAAAGAAATCGCCGGCGGGAAGAGAACTTAAAAATTCCTCTACTGATGCATGGGGGACATCAGTCGAGGGGCCACTTAGTTGGGATCTTCTGCCTGCACGCCGTGACCGAGCGGCAGACGATCGGGGGCCTCTCATGGCCCTGCCGTGGAGCGGGAGGCTCCACGGCTGGCCACTGGCTTCTTCTTCCTTCGTTTACCCTTAGTACGGTCAGAGGGAGGAGAGTGTTGAGGATGACGGAAGATGGGGAAGACCGGGGACGGGGAACCGTCCGAGGCGTTGTCAGAGACCCGAGAACTGGCCAAAGACGGAGTAGAGGACCCTGGGCCAGAACCTGGGTCCAAAGCATTGCTATGGTCCGGGGTCGACAGCGTCTTTGCTGTGTGATCCGGAGTCACAAGTTCCCTCCGAGAAGCAGCAGTGGTGGTGTCTCGGGGCGGAGGTTGGTTGGCGATGGCCGTAGTAGCCCTAGGTGGCGAGCTCGGTAGGGGTGCCGTGAGCGGACTTGACTTGGCTGCTCGCGCTGGACTAGCCGGCAAAGTTGGCTCCTTCGCAAGAGAATCGGCCGCTGCTGACTCCGACCTGTCCTGGGGAAAGGAAACCGTGGCTGTAGGTTAGGGAGGCAAAGCCGGCTGCGCTTCTTGGCTCGACATAGTCTGTTGCAGGAGGCGCAGAGCCGCAAGTTCGTTGGCCAGGGATTCAGACCAAAGTCGTTCAGCTTCCAAAGCGCTGCTCTTCTCAACCAAAAGATTCTCCTTAACTCAATTTCAGTGATTGCCGCTTCCAATTGGCTATCCTTCTCAAGTAACTCATCCATGGCGCCTGCTACTGTAGCTCCATCATCGATATCTTTTGCATCTGCCATTTCCATATCGAATTCCAACTTAGCTTCGGCGACATCAAGTGGGTCAGACCCAAAGCCATCAAGGAAGTCGATGGCTTCATCAATGCCTTGTAGGGTTTGGTCCGATGGTCGAGCCCGTAAAGTCTCCAAGCACCACACAAGTTCCTTGCGCCGTGTCGTATGGATCAGAGACACGGACAGCCACTTTGCAATTACCCTATTAGCTTGATTAGTCGTCAACTCCCCCAAATGATGTGTAAAGAACGGAACCAGTCCATTCAGTACATTTGTTGCCAAGGCGGCATATTTCAGCGTACTGATGAACAAATAGGTCCCTTCCATCTCACCTGGTAGCACCATGATGAACAACGGACTAGGAATGTTGTTCTCCAAGTCCATTTTTCTCTTCCTCTCTGCTTCCTTCGCACGGCGCTGCTGCACAGGAGTGAGAACCGGACCGTCATGCTCCGAAGTCCGTGCCACAGCCGACTTTGGAGGTTGCTTCTTGATCTTCGTCTTCCCTTTGACAGTCACTTTGGTGAACTTGTGGGAGACGTCCTCCAGCAATGAGTCGTCAGAGTCGGAGTCCGAGTTCACATCCGCAGCTGCCACTTTCTCCGCGTGAACTGGTTGGGCTTTGATGGAAAGAAACATGGACAAACAAGTGCGAGGACCAAAGGCTTTGGTTGTTGCCTGTTTCAACATCCCTGGAATCTCAACAGGGCAATATTTGGCCTGAGTCAGTTCCACAAAGTCGTTATGCTTCGAGATCATGGTGAGATTCTCATCCTTCACCGGACCCACGGCCTTAACGCTGATTGTCCCATTCTGAGCAGCCTTCCAATCGCTACTAATGTAGTGTGTGACCGCGCACCATGGAAAATCTTTCTCAGGGGTAGACGGGTGCAGCCATAAGCGTAGTTCTCGATCCGCTCGCTTAGCGTCCCTCGATCTGACATAAACGTGCCACATCATGCATCCAGGCGATCGTTCATTCCACTTCCTGCGGCCGTTGTAGGGAATGTTTACCCATTCGTACCGCAAGCCGATAACCGTCTTCCAGTCAAAGTGTCGCATGAGTTCTTTCTCCATAGCCCTGATGTTAATTTCCTGTGGGTAGAAGCACAACGCCCCAATCTTTTCGATATCGCCAAACTGTAGAACCGATTCATAGCATCCCGCTCCAAACCCTTGCGGACGCAATTCGCCGTGTAGGTATTGGCGGATCGTTCCTGCCGCCACCTCGACCTCAAAACTCACTCTCATCCTTGTACAAAGCTTCTTTTCGCCTGGCTTATTAGAAGTCGAGGCATATGACATGTTGCCGAAAGACATGTCCAGATACTTGGACAGGCTCCGGTAATCGGGAATCAACCGCCAAAGATCCGCTTCCGCTCGGATCCACTGCTTAGACTTCTTGTAAGCGCTGTCAGACAAGGGAAAAAAGCGAATCGTCTCCTCCGCGTTCTTTAGGACGTCTGCCAGCGTATCCAGAATATGGTTCAAGATAATAGAGGCATGGGTCGTATTCCCCCCTTGTTGACCTTGATAGCTGTAAGCCATTCCCAGTTCAACCAGGATAGCCTGACCGACCATGCCGTCCAAGTTGACTTGTCGCAGCCCATCTAGGCGTTCTTCCAATGTCAGGCTGCGTTGTAGTCTGCGTTTGGCCTTAGAGCTTTGCTTCGTGGAAGTGGTGTCCGTTTTTTGTGCGGTTGGTGTGGTTGATTGTGAAGCAGACGTTGAATGTGTACGTTTAGCACCGGGTTCACTCAAAGAGCTCCCGTCCACATCCATTTCTGTAGACGGAGCGACCACCAAAACCCTGTGGGACCGTCCCTTCTTCCTCGGCGGGGATGCCAATTCAGGATCCTTGTCTTCACCAGTAACACCAGTCAGTTCGGAAACTACCTCATCCGTATTCAGGCCCATGTAGTTGGTGTCTTCTTTGTTTTCAGTATCCGTAGTCTTGTAAGAATTTTCCACGAGAATGACAGAATCCTTTGTCGATTCGTCAGTATCCTCGTTGTCCTCCTCCACCTCGTCCTTGTCATCATCGTCGTCGTGGATGCGATTGTCACCAGAATCAAATTCGCCGTCTATGTCCATGTCGTGCCTTCTGTTGTTGGAGTTGTCATCAACTGTCTCGTCAGAGTCTCACCCATCGGGTTGGCCGATTTTATTGACAAGGCCAGTATCCTCGTCGCCCATCGGGTCGTCTTCCTCCTCAGAATCTTCGTAATCTCGATCAAATATCTTTTTGACCCCCTTGTGGATGTCCACCTTACTAGTTTCGTCATTGGGAAATCCCTCAATCACCTTCAATTTTATTTCTTGAATGCAAGAGATTGGGGATTCCTCGAGAAATTCGTCAAAAAGCATCGTCCATGGGTGATCGAATATGGAAGCGCACATCAGCCAAAACTGCACCAGAGGAGTCTCATTTCGTAGGGCGGGATTCGACCGATCGTCCCTCAAAAAATAAAGATCTTCTTGTGGCACTTTGGAATCGTTCACAAGGCCAACATCAAAAAAGGAAAACGGAATCTGCTGGGCGACTTGCAATGCAATTGCTCTCACTCCCCATGTGTATTCTGTATTTTTTTCCACCTTTCCCAAAGCGTCATCGTCAAAAAGCGAAATTAGGAATTTCAACACTCGCCGCCAATCGTTCGCATATTGAGCGAATAGCATGTTAACCCTGACTTCAACTGAATAATTAGCGTAGAGGTCCTTAAACTGGCTGTCAAACCTTGGGAGCGCTTGGGTCCACCGATCATTATGATTTTCCATCCATTGATTGAAAATGGAGTTGCCAAACAAAATCTTAGTTGAATTATAGTTGTAGCCGATAGCAATCAAGTGGTGAGTCGATAACCCAAAGTCGATCAGTGGTGGAAGAGATGCGATCAGCTCTTGAATCTCCGACTCATTGTTGACACTAGGATCCCTATCCTTAGGTTGACGTAAATCAACTGCAGATGCATTTTCCAATCTTTTCTTTCCCCTCTTTTTGGCGACAGAAACCGATTTGGGTGTGGACCCGCCCGCCTTGTTGGCAGTCGTTGAGACAACCTTCAATGATGTAGACTTCCCAATTGTAAAACAGTGAAATGCCGTTGAATTGATAAAAACTTCAGCAAGTTCTACGTAGACTCTAGTACTTAGGCTACAAAGACCGTTTGCAAGTTCCGATCGGTTTGGTGCTTTTCGTTTTTCTTTTTTCTTTTCTATCCGAGTGAGAGATAAGAAGCTGTGGCTGACTTCTAAGGAGAAAGTCGAGGAGCTCACCTACAAGAAGCTCAAGCCCTACGTTGATTGGTCCTGGAACAATGGAGCCCGATTTGGATACAACTCCAAGAATCCTGGCCCCAAGACTCTCCGCACCCCTATCCAAGTGGCCCATAACGCTTCATTGGATGACATGTTCTGACTCCTAGGTCAGTGTTTTGAGATCACTGGCACCCATGCAGGCGTCTTCCGGTCCCCGTTGCAAGTTAGTGATCCGGTCCGAATCGGCTGGCTCCTCAACTACCCTATGGGGATCGGCAGAGCGGCACTTGCACGGGAACTCATGCGGCATTTCAACTTCAAGATAGCCATTGCCTTGGAACCTGCGTGGCCACAGAATCCCGGTACCGCTGGTCAAAAATGGATGCCCTCCAAGGGGCCGAAAGCGTGGTACATTTGGGTAGCGGCGTCTGATGTGGATAGAGTGGCACGGGCCCTGTTTGCATGGCTCCGACCAGAAACAAAGAAATGTCACATGCCATTTGGTGCCCGGACTCAGTTTGTCTACGATTGGGGGGCAATTACAAAAGAACGACTTGGCGACCTTGCTCAACCAGGGGGGCAGTGGAATGGCATCATTGGTAAACTCATCAACACCCATGACACTACCTCCCAGACTTGTACCTCCCTGGCCCCACTGTTCCCTATCCAAGGCATGTTGACAAAGGTGGTCATCCAAAAGTACTGCAAGTAGGGTAAGGGCAAGTCCCTCCTCCAATTGATGTATGCAATTCAGTACATCCCAGCGGTCAAGTCCCCTCCATCCGACCAGCCGGACCAACTAGCCCAACCTGATGCAGACTCTCCTGATGCTCCCTTGCCGCCACCAGCCGTTCCTCCGGCGTCCCAAGATCCAACACCAACCCACCAGAGCGGGACTGCTCCTCCAACAACAGTTCAGCCACCGCAACCTACCCTCTCCACCAAGCGTTCACGTCGCAAGGAGTCCAAGAAAAGCCAGTCCAAACAACCTACAGCGACGCCTACGCCGACTCCTCACACACCCCCCAAACCGCCTTCCACTGGACCAAAAAAGTCTACCCCACAGTCAGCAACCAACCCTCCTCCCACGTCTTCAGCCCGGGCAAAACTTTCCGCATCTGAACAGGCCCCCACCACTGAGGCGTTCGACCGAAGTGCATGGCTTGCGGCAATGGATGCTGAACTGAACCAGGGCCCAGCCGGTCTCTTCCAAATGATCCTACCAGGTCCGATTGACGGTTTCTACGTGTTTGTGGTGCGCCAAAAGTTTGCCTCATTGGCACAGGAGGTTCTCAAGAACTTGGCTGCCTTCCTTATCTCTCTCCTGGAGCTCTGGCGGGATCTGAAGCACCAGAGGAAGACATGCCGCACTTGGCTCTGCTTGGATCACTACAATCGAACGGTTACCAAGGCTATGACCTGGGATCAAAGCCAACATCGGGCACTCTCTGAGTATGAGAGGGATGTCGACTTGGACCAGCAAGTGGAAAAGGACGATAATGAGTGGATTGAGAAGCTCCTTGCGGCCGAGCAGGCTTCTCCGGAATTCGAGGGCACCATCACCATTGACCTTTCGATGCCAGCTGCCAAGGATATGGACAATGGTGCTACAGTAGGAAGCGCGGCCAATATGGCAGCACTATTGGAGAATATGAAAGCGGATGTCAACGATCTGTGCACGGAATTAGAGACTGCGGCGGAGGAACTGGCTCAAGCCAAGGATGCTCGAATCCTGGAATTGGAGGCCAAAATGGCAGAACAAGCATCGGTCACAGGGAAGCACCGTTTGTCCAGCCCCTCCTCCAGCAAAGCAACATCATCGGCTGACAGTGGGGGTCCCCCCCCCCGGCGGTGGTCCCTAACCACCAACGGTCCCGTCACGCAGGGTTGCGGCGTTTGATGGAAGGCCGAGGTCGAAATCTACGCAACCAAAACACATCCAGCCAGGTGGCCCACTCCTCGCTGGATGCTCATGTAAACTCTCTCCCTCCCGGTAACTACTTCGGCGATGACTCACGCCAGAAGTCTCCTCACGTTACCCGGGTCCTTTTTCAAAATGTTCAGGGTCTTCCATTTCCCATGACACATGAGAAACAGAAAGGGCTCTTCAAGTGTTGGACAAATGAGAGAATGGGCATTGCATTGCTGGCTGAAGTTAACCTTCAATGGTCAGCAGTGCCAAGAGGACAAAAGTGGTTTGATCGGGTCAAGTCCTACACCAATCAGGGACATTTCTCTTCAGTGTTGTACCACGAACATCAGGAGTTTCCAACTCCCTTGGCGCATCAATGGGGCGGATGTTCCGCTACATTACTCAACAAGGTCGCGCGTCGGGCAAAGTCAGGCGGCAAAGATGAGTCAGGGCTAGGTAGGTTCTCATTGATCAAGATCCGGGGCAGGGACATCCGACAACAGGAGTCTCAGACTGATGGGCCCCCGGCTGGTCCTTTAGATCTTGTGGTGGTCTCTGCATATCGTCCAAACCCGGAAGGTACCAATGAGGGTAGTGTTTGGAACTACCAACGGAATTACTGGCTGAGCAAGGGGGTGACTATGGATCCCCGTGACAAACTCACCCTGGATTTGGTGGACCTGATCAAAAAGTGGAAAGCGGAAGGATGTGAGATTCTCCTGGGGATAGATGCAAACGAAGATGTCTCCTACAACTCTCCCTCTTCCATAAAACTCAGAAATCAAAAATCAAAAACTAAAAGGTAGAAGATTATTTTCCATGCCCAGCACCAAAACAAAACTGTACCAGTCCTACGCGTTTTCTACGTAAAGGAAAACAGTTGTTGTCGCTGAAACAGGAAAGAAATTTACTTTAACATGAAGGATAACATCGTCAACCCGCCGGAGAAGGATCCGAATTTGATCATGACTGTAGCTGACCAAGGTCAAGGAGGTCTCGAGGAAAAAACCCGATCAAATTCAACCACTCAATCCTCGATTGCTCTAACAAAGGATAATCCTGCCATCACGACTCCCAAGCGCAGCAGCAAGCGACACCCTTCAGAAACCGCCGAGGATGGCGCAATGAAAGGCCGCTCGCTCTTCCCATCTGCAGTTCCCCAAGGTCAGGACGTCACGGTCAACACTCGCCCAAATCCGACCACTCCTTTGTCAATCGAGTTAACTAAGGACAATCCGCCTGATCCCACAACTTCAAAGAGCCAACGCAAGCATCCCCCTCCTTCCAAAACCGCCGAGGATGGC